AAAAAAAACCCTGCTAATTTTGGAATATGGCCGCATAATTGGGCGTGGGCTAAAAGTGCGAAAAAAAACACAACGGACAAAAATGTTTCCTAAAATTCCAAAAAATAGGCAAGGATGTCAGAATAAATTCAATTGCATGTAGTGCTGATAAGGGATGCGCTATTGTACACTTATTTTGGTGTACCGTAAATATGGTGTAATTGCACACATCATGCCATCTTTAAAAGGTATCTACGTGAAAAGCACGACATGTGCATAATAAAAACCGACTTTAACTAATGTGAGCTTAATTAATATCTATTTGTTTGCTTCTAGATTCACTTAGCCATTTAATTTCCAATAAAATGAATGCCTAACTAATTGGCGAGGTATGTAAATAGATAATAAGTAAATAGATGATAAATAATGAACAGATAAATAAAAGTAAATAGGTAGATAATATGCTATCCAAATATACCACACAACAATATAACAACATATGACACCAATTACAGCATCCGCACAACATGAAAATGAATTAAAGAAAATTACCTCGATGTTTGACGTGTTCCATATGCTTCTTATTCATCGACCCGCTACGAGTACGAGAAATTCTGGAAAAAATTAGTTCGCGAGAAGAATTTGGGTAAATTTGTATGCCGCCCTCATAACTAAGCAAGAAAGAAACAATAAAAACAAAGAGCTGATACGCTCAGACCATAGCACTTTAGGACTTCGAAAAAAAGAAACGACGGAGGAAAAATCACTCACACTCCGAGAATTTTTTGGAACTTTCGGATACTTTAAATAATTTCTCTATCGACAATTTTGCAAATTTATTGATTTCCATGGAGATACGATGAAAGAAGACTTACGAATGATTATATTGTTGAATGAATGGATCGTTGAGCAGCTTTAAAGCGCTCGGTCGTTGGAGTGGATCCGGTTCGAAGCAGCTAGAAATACATCGATCAACATCAGTGCAAAGTAATCGGACAACTGTTACTTAAAGGGACAATGAGGAAGAGTGATTAATGTTGGGAAAAAATGTTTAAAGTAGATTCCTTGAGAAAAGAAGACGGAAGAGAAAGATAAACTGTCTAATGAAAATGGGAAAAAAAGATTCATTTATCCAAAAAAGACAAACAAATCAATAACTGCACAATTTGATTTGTTACCTCTTGATGAAGTGTCTACATTTTTCGGAGATATCCTGTGGCAAAGGTGGATGTGTTTTAAACATTCCCACCCTGAACATTGCTGCTTGTGGGTTTTGCATCTGAAAAAACTTTGACTGAGGACATTCACGCCCAATGGGTAAGCCACGCCCACTACGCCCACCTCAACAAATGGCGGTCGTCCCGTTGCCATTTCAACCATTGTACATCCAAAGCTCCAGATATCAGCTGGCGCACCATAGCCCCGCTGACCATGATCGATTACCTCTGGTGCCATATATTGCAACGTTCCTGCAAGTACAAACTTTTAGCTCCACCCACAATAGGACGAGTTCATCCCAGCTTACCTGTGAACGTTTCCGTAACTGGATTTAACCCTGCGAGTCGCTTACATGTGCCAAAATCACTAATTTTGCACACTCCACTATACGTATTCACCAGCACATTGTCGCCTTTTATGTCACGATGTACGATTTTTTGCTCGTGAAGATATCTAAAATTTAGGGTTCAGTCACCCAAGCACCTGGTGAATAGTTCTGGCGAAGATAACTTACCGTAATCCATCCAAAATTTGCTTTCCATACAGGACCATAGCTGGTTCGTTTAG